TTATTAGAGTTGGACTTCTCTTTTGTGGAAAATGTTCCCGACGACCAAAAAATTTAACACTAATAGTATTGACTGCAAACCTAACGAACCCCCCAAAAAGAAAGACTAAATGATTACCGACACTATTCATGCCAACAATTCTCATAAAAGCCATGGAAAATAAAGTAATCAAGAGACTAACCACCCAAACTTTTGCCACACAAACTTTTAGTTCCTGGATAGTTAGTAAGCGACCATGGTGCAAGAACTCAAAACTAATGTTGGCAAGAAGCAGGGAGCAAAAAATAAGAGGAGCCCAAACTCATCATGTAGTTCCGGAGGTTCCGGACTCAAATCAAGATTTGGTGCGGTCAAAGAAAGCCGGATGAAAAGAAAGAAGAAAGTTAAACAAAATAAACATAAATCCATTAAAAATGGCGTATTTAAATAGAGCAGAAGCTTCCAAATTCAACTGTTCTTTTTCCTCAACGCTTAGGTTAGGATCGCGAATTTTTTCCATATTTTCTCACATTACTATCGTTTTTGAATAGTAGATTAAAACTAGAATTATTTCAACAATTAACAGTTTAAGAATTATCTCCAAAGATATTTTCCAAAAATAATCTCCCTCTTGTAATCCTAATAACTTACTGGTTTTGTTAAGCGGAGAAACAATAAAAAATTTCAAAGGGTCATGTAATATTCTCTCCCCTAAGTTTTTGTGGTCATCTAATTCCGTAATATTTAATTTATTTTCTTTTAGTTGTGTTTCAATATTTTTGATAGTTTCCTGTTTGGATTGCTGGAATTTTTCATTATATTCTTTCTCCTTTTTTTCTAATTTTCCCTTTTCTTCCTGAGTAGGATTGTCTTTTTTTAACTCCTCCTTTTCTCGAGACAACTTCTCTAACTCAGGCAACAATTGATCTTTTCATTTTCTTGGAAGTTTTTTACCACCTAATTCTTCCTTTTTTTTCTCTTCGATTTGCCTTAATACATCCTCCTCAATTTCTCCAATATTCTTTTCCTCTTTCTGATTAAAAAATCCTGTAAAACGCTGGTATTGATCGGTTTTACTATTATGTTCTTTTAATTTCTTTTCCTCTTTCTTACTAATATTTTTTTCACTTACTGCTTCCTGGTAGTTAGAACAGTTAGCATAGGAAGTAAATCAAACAATTCAGTGTAAAAAAATAACTAAAAAAAGTATCCGCAAACTATTTCGTAAAAAATTGGCTACTTTATATAAACTAGATTTTCCTTTATGCGGCATATATTATTAATTTTTACAAATCAACATTTTGGTCATTAGAAATAATTTTAACTAATAACTCAAATCTAAACTTCAATTATTAGTAAGATACTTTATTCAATTAAACATTCTATAAATTTAATTTTATTATATGATTTTTAATTGCCTATTGGAGAGGAAATTGGTTATTTTTTTTACTCAAAAATTAACCCTTTCCATCGGAATTTCTTTTCATTCGATCAACTATGTCGAGTAATTTATAAAGATTTTTTTGATTAGTAACAAAATCATTTTTTAAGTATGGATAACGAATAATGATAACCAAATCGGAATGAGAATGTTCAGTATTGGTTTGACAACTGTTGGCCTTTTCTCCCTCTTTTAAGTGAGAGATTAGCATTGATTTCACTTGCCGCTTATAAAAATTACGATCGGTAGCTAGTTTGAATAATTTCATGGGCGTGCTAATTCCGAATCGGCAGTTATTATGATTATTAGTGGTAAAAAAAATAGTAAAACTAGAGTTAAATACTTTCTGTCCTTCCTCCACGATTATGTTTCGAAACTGTCAATCTTTTCTTAGGCGGTAAGGTTTTCACACCATTGAACTTATATAATTAAATTATTAATGAATTACTGCTTGACTTACCCTGATTATTAAACCAAAAAAACTTGCCATTTTTAATCTTATGGCACTTCTTTGGCCTGCAGTTTTCTAAAATTTTTATATGAAGTCCAAAATTGATTGAACAAAACTGAAAAAGTTTTTTTTTTGGTTAGTTGGTTGATGGTCAGTCGAACTTGCTCCGCCCATTAGATGCCGAATTTCCAAAAGAAACGAAAATTCACTGGTAGGAAAAGCCTATTATTTTTGTGACTTAAAGGGTTGAAAGATCAAAAGCCCACTGGAAGGAATTATTAGCAAAATTTATCCCAATTATGCTATTCAAATCACTAACCAGGAAGGATTACAAATAATAATTGATGTTCAAACTGACCGAAAAAATCCAATGCCCCTTAATAAAATATTACAGTGCGAGGTTCAAGAAGGGCAAATAGTTAATCCCAAAACTGTCCTTTTTATCGTTTATCTTGAAGAACAAGTTATTAGTGTCTCAGTTTATATTCCCTGACAACCCGAGATTATAGGTAAAATTGGCAGGTTTCAAAAGGGTGAGAAAAAGTGTTTTGTTAAGATATACTATCGCAACCCTTACTCAAAAAAAATACCGTTTAAAAAACATGGTAAGTATTAAAAGCATCACTTACTTCAAGAGATGACAATTTTCGAGAATTTCCTAAATATTCAACCTTTTCAACCGTTCCGAAGTCTGAAAAATTAACTGATCCTATTAGAAATATAAAAATTTTGGCATTTATGTATCCTTACACCAAACTTAAAAAAATATGAAAAAGGAGTTAAACAATTATACCATTGAGGAGTTATTAACAGAAATTACAAAGAGAGGTTTTCAAATTAGTAGGAAATTCCCTTAATTTTTTAAGAATTAATAGGATTTTATCATACCCTAGCAAGAAGACTCCGACCTTCAAATTCTCACCATGAAGAATTAAGTCGGGGATGAATTGTTAAAATTATAATATAGTTTTAAGTATTGAACTAGTTAGCCAGTTGTTTAACGGCTTCTCGGCTAACTAATTGAGTATTTAAAAGTATGAAGCCGTTAATTACCAAAACCTTTAAATATCGTTTGTATCCTACCAAGGAGCAAGAACAAATTCTTAATTGAACCCTTAGAGAATGTTATCAACTTAACAAAACTCTTTTGAGTGAAAAGATAACTGCCTACAAGAAAAAGGAGAAACAACCTTCTCAATTCAACCAAGTTAAGTCATTAGTTCAAATCAAAGAACAAAATCCCAAACTTAAACAAATCTTTTCCCAAGTTCTCCAAAACATTCCCAAGCAACGAGTTCCTGCTATTTGATTAAACTTTCAAAAGAGAAAGAAAAATAATAAAAGAACAAATTTGCCAAGTACTAAACCCTTATATCGTTATCACTCTTTTACTTATCCTCAACATGGATTTAAGATTGAGAAAGGACAATTAGTCTTATCACAAGGGCAAGGTTATCCTAAATTAAGAATTAATATTCGTTTACATACTCAAAAGAAAAGACCTTTACCTAGCGAAATCGAAACTTGCTCTCTTTTCTATAAAGAATGGTAAGTGGTATGTTTGTTTTACTGGAAAAGTGGAAACTCAACCATTTCCTAAAACTGGCAAAAAAATAGGGACAGATATGGGACTAAATGATTTTTGTGTCCTTGATAATGGAGAAAAAGTTCCTATTCCTCAATTCTATCGTAGATTAGAAACTCAATTAAATGAGTTAAATAGAATAGGAGACCGAAAACAACATAAAAGGAATAAAGAGGATAAAACCAAACCTAGTCAAAGATACCTTAAACATAAATCAAAAGTGGGTAAATTCCATGAAAAGATTACTAATAAAAGAAATGATTTTGTTTACAAATTAGTCCACTGATTTTTAAGCAATTATGATTTCATTGCTGTTGAAAAATTAGAGATTAAGAAAATGATTGAGTGTCGGAGTAAGTATCAAAACTTACCCAAAAGTATTAATGATGCTGGTTGGAGGATATTTTTAAGTTTCCTTGCTTGAAAGGCAGTAATAGTCGGAAAACAAGTAGTAGAAGTAAATCCCAAAAATACTAGCAAAAGATGTTTTGATTGTAAGATGATAAAGAAAGATTTAGAATTGAAAGACAGAATATTTGTTTGTGTTTGTGGATATGAGGCAGATAGAGATGTTAATGCTGCTAAAAATATTCTCTACAAAGTACAAGCAACGGAGCAGGAACTGTCTTCGTTAGACGAGAACATGGAACATAATTCCTCTTCGTTAAAACCTCAACGAGGAAGCCCCCATCTTCAAATCCATAAGGATTAAGTGGGGGTAGTTCACATTTTGGTATTATTTTTTATTTATTGATAGGCTATATCACTCAGCCTTCGATTTAATTGTCGAAAACCTTGACGGAACGAGTTAATGGTTTCTCAAAAAAAGGCTTCTTGAGGCTCTTGGGGCAAATAATATTTAACGTTAGCCAAAGTGCGAATTTTATTTAATGACTCCAAGTATTCCGATCAAAAATTATCTATTTCTTTTACTAGACGAGCTTTTAAATATTCTTGTTCAATAGGAATAATTTCTCCTTTTGGTTGCTTCTTTTTTTTCTTGATTATTTTGGTTAAGTTAGCAGTATTTAATAATTTATTACGATAGTTATAGATAAGTTGTCTTTGGCGATTAATAAGTAAGTCATAATTAAGATGATATTGACGATTATGAGCCTGAAAATTCCGTAA